GTGGCTTGGACGAGTCGAATGGAGGTCTTGGAGTTGCCTTTGGGGCTGGCTGGGGTGGTTCGGTCTTAGGAGTAAACTTGGACACCCCTGGACTAGGCTGCTCCCGCTCGAAGGTCGGGTTGCCTCTCCACGCAGGCGTTGCCGAGAAGCTAGGGTTACGAGTGTTACCCCTCCTCTCAAGCCTCATCTCGATCTTGGATGCCTTATCAATTAGCTCAGGCATGTCCACGTAGTTTTGTAACTCCACCAATTCGGCGATCTCAGGTCTTAAGCCGTTGAGAAATCTTGCCATGGTAGCCTCTCTATCCTCCACAATATCAGCTCGGAGCATGGTGATCTCCATCTCCTTATAGTAGTCCTCCACAGTACGGCTTCCTTGGACTAATGTCTGGAGCCGTTGATATAGATCACGATAGTAATGGCTGGGTACAAACCGTTTCCTCATAGTGGTTCGTAACTCCTCCCATGTACTAATTTGTCGTTCTCTATTGCGGCGCCTGCTAGTGTGCTCCTGCTCCCACCAGACAATAGCGTAATCGGTGAATTCGAGGGTTGCCAGTTTGACTTTTTGATCATCGGTGTAGTCCTGGCACTCGAATACCATCTCGATCCGCTGTTCCCACTCTAGGTAAGCCTCCGGACTAGACTTGCCTTGGAATGCGGGAATCTTGATCTTGACTCCTTTTAATCCGTCATCGGTCCTCCGGTAGTCCTGCTTAGGCCGACGGATGAAGTCATCTTCCTCACTATTGGAAGCGAACTCCTCACGAGGTGGTACATCTCGATGAGCTGCGTTGGACCGAGCTTGAGAAAGCTCTAAGCGGTCCATCCGTTGGTGTAGTGATGCCATAGATTCCCGAAGCATGTGTTGGACTTCACTTAGCAATGCCTGGTTGTTTGAATTGGGGTCAAATCTGGAGGCCTCGCTCCCACCGGACATGATGTAGTAGACCTGCAAAAGGTTAGTAACAAAGCAAATATAGCAATGGATGCCTCACTCACTCTGTGAGACCCCGAAAATTTTCTTATTTTTCGGGTATTTATTTTGGGACTTTTAAGTCTATTTTTGGGGTTTTATTTTATATGTAGGTTTTCTGGGGAATTTTATGAGAAAATATGAATTTTGCATCATTTTCTGGGTTTAGGTCAATTTCTGTGCTTATGGAGGTGTACAGTGCATGTGGGACCCACTAGGGTAATCGGTACCGGTAAATGTGACTTTGGGAAATTTTCTATACGGAAGCTTTAGTACCTAGTGTTATGAGCTAATTAGTGGTTAGCTAGTATAATTAAGTTTTACAAGACAAAGATGTTGGATAAGCTTGGAAAACACATGTTGAGATCTTATTGGAAGTTGGACTTTTGACTTTCACTTTACCTTTCTTATTAAGAGAAAAATTGATCCAAAATTACTCATTTTTCTCTTGCTCATTGCCGACCAACCTTGAAGGAAGAAAGAAAGAAAACTCTTCAACTTTTGCTTCATTTCTTGGCCAAATCTTGCAAACCAACCATTAATCTTTCAAATTTCTCCACAAAACTTGCTTGCTAGGAAGGATTGAACTACTTGGTGGTTTTTGTTTGAAGAGAAAAGCTATCCTCTACCTTGTATCCCACATTTGTAAGGTAAGCAAGTTAGGAAATGTTTATTTGTTGGTTGTGAGATGAAATTAGTACATGTTAGTGGTTATAGATGCCATTTTATGGGTTATTTCAAGACTTGTGGTTGAGTTATGGAAATTTTCTATTTATTGAGGAATTTTCTGTTTTATATGATAACTTATGGTTGAGTTGGGTGTGGTGGATTTATATGGCTTGATTTAGGGCCTTGGTGTGTTAATGGTGTTTAATTGTAGAAAATTTCAGCATTTGTAGGATTTTCGGTTTTTAGGTTTTGGTATAAATTGGGGTTTTCCTATGTATGGTATATATGCTAGTAGTTGATGTGTATTTGATTATATTGTGGCTTAAATGGGATGAATGGACTAAATTGTGATATATAAGTGTATTGGTATAAGTTGAATGGTTGTGGTTAGGTTGGAAATGTGAAGAAATTAAGGGGTTATGCCGTCCAAATGGTTAGAAATATAGATGGTTTTGTATTGAGAAGGATTTGAGTAGAAATGGATAAGTTTTGGGTTTTTACTCACATTCCACACCTTAATGTTTCATTGTATTGGCTTTTGAGCAACTTGCATTAGTAAGTTAAACTTGTACGTTGAATTGTGTTTGAGTCTTCAATATGGTTATTTGCTTGTTTTAGGTCGTACCGGTGGGCCGGGACCTACACCTGATTCAAACGTGTGACTTGCTTGAAAATTTGGTGAGTGTACCAGTATATGATGAACATACTTGTTATGTGATTTTAAATGTCTTGATTTGGGTCGAGAGTGTACTTGATCGCTCTTGACCACTTACTTGCATTTGTCCATTTTTGTTTGGATGTGAAATGGTATATGTTCATGATTTGACATGTGATGGGGCAATGCCTTAATATTAATGTGAAATTGAGCTCATGCCCTTAGACCGTTATTCGAGTCGAGCCGGCAAGGGCTTGGGCGATTCGTTAATGAGCCTTTGGGTTCTTGATAGGCGAGTGGAGTGTTAACTCCTCGACCTTGTGGTATACTCGAGTATTACCCTTTTGGAACTATGAGGCGGCGGGCCCGAATAGGGGGTGAATGGTGGAAGGAAATGGTGCGAAGTGGTGTCTACGGATCTTGGTTTGTTTAAATGGTTGACGGAGTGTCAACGTGTGAGATCAAGTATGGCAATCGGAAATCGGCCCTTGAGGGTCGCATGTATCCTTTTATATGTGTATGTTGTATGAAGGTGTTTATGTATATGTGTTAATAGTTGTAGCATGAAATTGTGCATTTGGTACCTCACGAGCGTAAGCTCACCCCCGTTGTTTTGTTTTCCTTACAGGAGCGATGTTGAACCACAGTTTGAGATGAGTTGAGCTAGTGACATAGTTTTGAAAGCTCCTCGAACATTTGAAACTTCGATGTATTTGAACTCAAGTGTTTGTGTTTGAATTGTATAAGGACACTTTCTTATGTATAGATGACATGTATGTATGGTTCACCAAGTCTTGGATTCGTTATTTGGTGTATGTGTACAATCGCCGGTTTTAAAAATGAAAGCAGGAAATTTTGGAAAACCACTGCCTGGAATCCGGCCTAGAATCCGGCCAGTTTCTGGCCGGATAGGCAGGGGAAAAGGAAAAAAAAAGAAAAAAAAATTGGACTCTGGCTACTGCCCAGAATCCGGCCAGAGCAATCCGGCCAACTTCCGGCCAGATTGTTGGCCGGATTGGCAGGGGACATTTCGAAAATTTTGGTTTAGCCTCGGCCTCCTATCCGGCCGAGAATCCGGCCGGATATCCGGCCAGATTCTGGCCGGATAGTGACGTGGCCGGTCACTGTTCATCCGCGGCAAAATTTTCGTTTTCCGTTTTCTGGTCCGATGGAAGTGCTCGAGCACTGTACTTTCTTGTACAATGGTATTATTGTTCTAATAACACCTTAAGGGGGAAAATTGTTCATTTTGTCGAGTTTTCTTTTATGAATTAAATCCGACTTGATTGTTTTGCGACCTGTAGTCCCGGCGAGAGCTGGGCAGGCGGTCCGTCAACCCCTCCGGTTCGCCCTAGGGGAAGATGGGGTCGTCACAAGTGGTATCAGAGCCTAGGTTTAGATTAACCTGGGCATGTTAGAACTTACTTGATTTGGAATTTGTATTTGATTGTTTTCCTAAGGGTGTTGGGGATTAATGATACTTTTGTGTAGGATGGACGTGCCTAGTGGCTCCCGTGTGCGATCGACCGCGAAGCAAGGCCGTGGAGTACTTCCTATGATCAAGTACCAAATCCGGCCGAGAGGGGCGACTCTACGTTGGAGTCCGGCGAGTCGATTTCGACGTTGTGAGTGCCGTCACAAGTTTACCTACCCCAATACTCTTGTGTTTGCGGTGGACAAAGAACGAAAAGAGTTTGCCAAGGATTATGCTAAGATTGAAGCCGAAGTGAAACAATTAAGAGAGGCCAACAAGAGGCAAGCGGAGCGTATTAAGGAGTTGGAGTATGACCTGACCGAAGGTCAAGATAGGGTGGATGATTTGTGTACGCAACTTGGGGAGATGCGCAAACGTATGACCAAGAGGGCGAGACAACTGAGGGAGAACGCCGGAACAATGTTAAATTTGTGTGAAGACCTACTAGGGGACGAGAGTGTCGAGAGTTCTAGTGTAGGAGGTGGGGTTGGAAGTGAACCCTCCCAAGCGAATAGGTCCTCTAGTCCCACGGTAGGCTAGGGAATGGCTTTTAAGCCATTTTGGATGATTTTGACTTGTATATATAAGGGACACGGAATGGTAGGCCGGGGAGGACTCTTAGCTAGTTGTGTTGTATATAGGACCAGTTTTGTATATATTACTTTTGTATTGCCCTTTCCGTAAGACGTTTCCTGTTTGTACCTGACTGACTACTTTGGTGTAAATGTTTGATCTTGTTATGAATGCTATGACTATGTGTTATGTGTTCAAGTGTGTTATGAAGTGATTGTTTGATTTTGTGGCCATATTTCTTGTTAAGTACAGGGATGTGTGCCCTTTAGTGTTAAAGTTATATTCATGGGTATATTTTGATTATAGATTGAACTAGAGTGATGGAAGGTACGCATAGTGGCCGGGGGCGCGGACGTGGGGGTAGACATCCCACGACTGAACAGGGTACGGGAGCTACAGTGCCCGAACCAACTCCTGAACCCCAAATCGATCCCAATGTACAGGTAGCCGCTGCTATCCAGCGGATGACCGATCTTTTAGCCCAGGTGGTACAACAACAGGGCCCCAACCCTAATCCACCAGTTGGCAATCCTGGAAACCCCGGAAATCATGTCGAGAGCGAAGATCGAGCTCTCGAACGATTCCAAAAATTTTCACCTCCCAAATTTCTTGGAGGGCCCAATCCTGATGTGGCCGAACAATGGTTAGAAAAGATGATAGATATTTTTGCCGCTCTACATTACTCGGAAGAGAGGCAAGTGACCTTTGCGGTTTTTCAACTTGAAGGTGCCGCTCGCTCATGGTGGAATATTATCCGGACGAAGTGGGACCGAGAACAGACACCAAGGACCTGGATGAATTTTGTACGGGAATTCAATGCCAAGTACTTTCCGCCGCTGGTTCAAGAGAAGAAAGAGGACGAATTTATTCGTCTACGCCAAGGAACGCAATCGGTAGCCGAATATGAGAGCCAATTCACACGTTTATCCAAATTTGCTCCTGAGCTCATTTTAACCAAACAAAGGAGGGCTAGGCGTTTTCTTCAGGGGCTTATTGTGGAAATCCAGAAGGATTTGGCCGTTGCCCAAATCACTACTTTTAGTGATGCCGTTGAGAAGGCATTACGATCCGAGAACGCTAGGCTCCAGGTGAGGAACTTCCAAAATCGAAAGCGTGGAGCTGCTGGAAGTACCTCAACTCAAGGTGATAAGAGTGCCCCTTCCCCTCCTAAGTTTGGACGGGGAGCTGGATGGGGACGATTTACGAGTCCGGCTCGAGGGGCTCCTTCTCGAGGAAGCCAACCAGGGCGAGGGCCGCCGAGGAGCACCGCACAAGGGAGTTCAGCTACTGTTGCACGTGGGCCGTGTAACTTTTGTGGAAAACCCAATCATACGGAGGACGACTGCTGGAGGAAGCAGAATAAGTGTTTGCGGTGCGGAAGTGCGGAGCACCGGTTCGCCAACTGTCCGGTCCAGGCACGCGAGACGAGAGGAACTACCCCGGCGACATCCAAGGCTACCTCAAGTCAATCGAGGGTAGATAGTACCAAACCAAAGGTACCTACACGGGTGTACTCCATTGAACAACGGCCAGTTCCTGACTCTGCAGAGGTAGTGGAAGGTACGATTCCTGTCTTCCACCGCCTAGCTAGAATTTTGATAGATCCTGGAGCTACCCATTCTTTTGTTAACCCCGAATTTATGTGTGGAATTGATATAAATCCTGTCACTCTCCCTTATGAGTTGGAAGTTAGTACACCTACGGGGGACCAAAGCTTGATTTCTAGTAAAATGTATACGAATTGTGAGATCTGGATAGGTGAGCGGAAATTATTGGGGAATTTGATAAGTCTAGCCATAAAGGGATACGATGTGATATTAGGCATGGATTGGCTGGCTCGGTACGATGCACAGCTAGATTGTAAGAGGAAAACTGTTGAATTTCGCATTCCTGGGGAGGCGACTTTGAGGTTAGATGTGAGGGTAGTCTAGCCTCATCTGCTATGATATCGGGTATTCGAGCTAGGAAATTATTAAGTAGAGGGGCACAGGGGTTCCTAGCTCTTCTTATTAACACTCCTATTGACAAGCTGAAAATAGAAAATGTTCCGATAGTGAGTGAATACCCTGATGTTTTTCCTGACGAGTTAGTGAACTTGCCTCCAGAGAAAGAAGTGGTGTTCGAAGTGAACCTTTGTCCAGGGGCCTCCCCTATTTCTAAAACCCCTTACCGAATGGCACCCGCGGAACTCAAAGAGTTAAAACTACAGTTGCAAGACCTTTTAGAGCGGGAGTTTATTCACGAGAGCGGATCGCCTTGGGGGGCGCCCGTTCTCTTTGTCAAGAAGAAGCACGGGACTTTGAGACTCTGTATTGACTACCGAGGGTTGAACAACGTGACGATTAAGAATAAGTACCCCCTACCTCACATTGATGAGTTATTTGACCAATTGCAAGGTGCGGTGGTCTTTTCGAAATTAGACCTTCGACAGGGGTACTACCAGCTGTCGATTAAGAAAGAAGATGTGCCCAAAACTGCTTTCAATTCCCGGTATGGGCATTTCGAATTTGCCGTGATGCCTTTTGGATTGACCAATGCCCCTGCTGCTTTCATGGACCTTATGCACCGAATTTTCAAGCCCTTTCTTGACTGATTTGTTGTTGTTTTCATCGATGACATATTGGTTTACTCAAAAACCCGTGAGGAGCATGAACAACATTTGAGAGAGGTCCTACAAACCCTGAGGGAGCACCAGTTGTATGCCAAATTTAGCAAATGTGAATTTTGGCTAGACAAAGTGTCTTTTCTGGGGCACGTGATATCAAAGGAGGGAATTGCGGTAGATCCGGCTAAGGTGGAGGCCGTGACTGAGTGGAAGCGACCCGAGAACCCTACTGAGATTCGAAGTTTTCTAGGGTTGGCAGGTTATTACCGGCGATTTATTAAGGATTTTTCGAAACTTGCCAGTCCCTTGACCGATCTAACAAAGAAGGGTTGTCGATTTTTGTGGAGCGATAGGTGTGAAACTAGCTTTCAAGAGCTGAAACGGAGATTGACAATGGCCCCTATTTTAGCCTTACCTAACGGCCCAGACGGTTTTACCGTTCACACCGACGCCTCCAAAGAAGGATTGGGATGTGTACTAATGCAACACCGAAATGTGATAGCTTATGCTTCCCGGAAATTGAAAATTCATGAACAAAACTATCCCATCCATGACCTAGAATTGGCCGCAGTTGTCTTCGCTCTGAAAAAGTGGAGACACTATCTGTACGGAGTGACTTTTGAAGTTTATTCCGATCATAAGAGCCTTAAATACCTCTTTTCCCAGAAAGAGTTAAACATGAGACAACGCCGTTGGATGGAATTCTTGGAGGACTACGATTATACGATTAATTACCATCCTGGTAAGGCCAATGTGGTAGCCGATGCCTTAAGTCGAAAGGCTCAGATTTCTGGATTGATGGTGAAAGAATGGGAATTATTAGGAGCTGTAGGAGAATGGAAGCCTAATCGGATAATCTTTGGGAACATCCAAGTGACGTCTGTGTTTTTAGAAAAGATCAAGGAAGCTCAAATTAAAGATCCGACGGTTCAAAATTGGATAGAAAAGGTGAAGAAAGGGGAAATTTTCGATTTTAATTTGAGCTCTGAAGGGATTTTAAGATTTAGAAATCGAATCGTAGTACCTGATGATAGAGATTTGAGAAGGGAAATTTTGGAGGAAGCTCATCGATCTAAGTATACAATCCATCCAGGAAGTAACAAGATGTATCGTGACTTGCGGCAATTGTACTGGTGGGACAAGATGAAGAGAGAGCTAGCTCAGTACGTGCAAACCTGCCTAGTGTGTCAGCAAGTTAAGGCTGAACATCAGAAGCCTTCGGGATTGCTACAACCTTTGGAAATTCCTGAATGGAAATGGGAACATATCACTATGGACTTCGTTTTTGGATTACCTAGGACTCAAAGAGGACATGATGCCGTTTGGGTGATTGTTGATCGATTAACCAAGTCGGCTCATTTCCTGCCTGTGAATATGAAGTATTCCATGGATAAGTTAGCCCAAGTATATTTGGAGGAGATTGTACGATTACATGGAGTGCCCGTGAGTATCGTTTCTGACCGAGACCCTCGTTTCGTGTCTAGATTTTGGCAAAAGTTTCAGGATACCTTGGGGACGAAGCTGAATTTGAGTACTACTTATCATCCTCAGACGGATGGACAGTCGGAGCGGACGATTCAGACCCTCGAAGATATGTTACGCACGTGTATCCAAGATTTCGGGGGCAATTGGGGACAACACATGACTTTAGTAGAATTCGCCTATAATAACAGCTACCATTCGTCAATCCAAATGGCGCCGTACGAAGCCCTTTATGGGCGAAAGTGTCGTTCACCAATTTATTGGGATGAAGTTGGAGAGAAAAGGATCTTAGACCCTACCATTATCCCTTGGATGGAGGATGCTCAAGAAAAGGTCAAGTTAATCCGGCAAAGACTTCAGACAGCCCAAAGTCGCCAGAAGAGCTATGCCGATAATCGAAGGAAGGATCTGGAGTTTGAAGTAGGAGACCAGGTATTCTTGAAGATTACACCATTACGGAGTCTTACTGCTGGAAAAGGAAAGAAACTCCAACCCCGATTCGTAGGCCCTTTTCCGATCCTTCAGCGGGTTGGAAAAGTAGCTTACCGGCTTGAGTTGCCATCGAGCTTGTCACGGATTCACGACGTATTTCATGTGTCTATGCTCAAGAGATATTACCCCGATCCAGCTCACATTGTTCAGCCGGAAGAGATTGAAATTGACGAGGCCCTCACTTACGAAGAAAAACCTGTGCAAGTGCTCGATAGAAAAGTTAAGGAGTTAAGGAATAAACAAATTCCACTGGTGAAAATTCTGTGGAAAAATCACGGAGTTGAGGAGGCAACCTGGGAAATGGAGAGTGAGATGGAAACCAAATATCCAAAACTGTTTACTGACTCAGGTGAGAAATTTCGAGGATGAAATTACTTAAGGGGGAGAGAGTGTGAGACCCCGAAAATTTTCTTATTTTTCGGGTATTTATTTTGGGACTTTTAAGTCTATTTTTGGGGTTTTATTTTATATGTAGGTTTTCTGGGGAATTTTATGAGAAAATATGAATTTTGCATCATTTTCTGGGTTTAGGTCAATTTCTGTGCTTATGGAGGTGTACAGTGCATGTGGGACCCACTAGGGTAATCGGTACCGGTAAATGTGACTTTGGGAAATTTTCTATACGGAAGCTTTAGTACCTAGTGTTATGAGCTAATTAGTGGTTAGCTAGTATAATTAAGTTTTACAAGACAAAGATGTTGGATAAGCTTGGAAAACACATGTTGAGATCTTATTGGAAGTTGGACTTTTGACTTTCACTTTACCTTTCTTATTAAGAGAAAAATTGATCCAAAATTACTCATTTTTCTCTTGCTCATTGCCGACCAACCTTGAAGGAAGAAAGAAAGAAAACTCTTCAACTTTTGCTTCATTTCTTGGCCAAATCTTGCAAACCAACCATTAATCTTTCAAATTTCTCCACAAAACTTGCTTGCTAGGAAGGATTGAACTACTTGGTGGTTTTTGTTTGAAGAGAAAAGCTATCCTCTACCTTGTATCCCACATTTGTAAGGTAAGCAAGTTAGGAAATGTTTATTTGTTGGTTGTGAGATGAAATTAGTACATGTTAGTGGTTATAGATGCCATTTTATGGGTTATTTCAAGACTTGTGGTTGAGTTATGGAAATTTTCTATTTATTGAGGAATTTTCTGTTTTATATGATAACTTATGGTTGAGTTGGGTGTGGTGGATTTATATGGCTTGATTTAGGGCCTTGGTGTGTTAATGGTGTTTAATTGTAGAAAATTTCAGCATTTGTAGGATTTTCGGTTTTTAGGTTTTGGTATAAATTGGGGTTTTCCTATGTATGGTATATATGCTAGTAGTTGATGTGTATTTGATTATATTGTGGCTTAAATGGGATGAATGGACTAAATTGTGATATATAAGTGTATTGGTATAAGTTGAATGGTTGTGGTTAGGTTGGAAATGTGAAGAAATTAAGGGGTTATGCCGTCCAAATGGTTAGAAATATAGATGGTTTTGTATTGAGAAGGATTTGAGTAGAAATGGATAAGTTTTGGGTTTTTACTCACATTCCACACCTTAATGTTTCATTGTATTGGCTTTTGAGCAACTTGCATTAGTAAGTTAAACTTGTACGTTGAATTGTGTTTGAGTCTTCAATATGGTTATTTGCTTGTTTTAGGTCGTACCGGTGGGCCGGGACCTACACCTGATTCAAACGTGTGACTTGCTTGAAAATTTGGTGAGTGTACCAGTATATGATGAACATACTTGTTATGTGATTTTAAATGTCTTGATTTGGGTCGAGAGTGTACTTGATCGCTCTTGACCACTTACTTGCATTTGTCCATTTTTGTTTGGATGTGAAATGGTATATGTTCATGATTTGACATGTGATGGGGCAATGCCTTAATATTAATGTGAAATTGAGCTCATGCCCTTAGACCGTTATTCGAGTCGAGCCGGCAAGGGCTTGGGCGATTCGTTAATGAGCCTTTGGGTTCTTGATAGGCGAGTGGAGTGTTAACTCCTCGACCTTGTGGTATACTCGAGTATTACCCTTTTGGAACTATGAGGCGGCGGGCCCGAATAGGGGGTGAATGGTGGAAGGAAATGGTGCGAAGTGGTGTCTACGGATCTTGGTTTGTTTAAATGGTTGACGGAGTGTCAACGTGTGAGATCAAGTATGGCAATCGGAAATCGGCCCTTGAGGGTCGCATGTATCCTTTTATATGTGTATGTTGTATGAAGGTGTTTATGTATATGTGTTAATAGTTGTAGCATGAAATTGTGCATTTGGTACCTCACGAGCGTAAGCTCACCCCCGTTGTTTTGTTTTCCTTACAGGAGCGATGTTGAACCACAGTTTGAGATGAGTTGAGCTA